TTCCAGCATCGGACAGTTGGCTTGCTACATCCCCAAACGTTTCGTCGGAATCGTCAAAGAAAGGCACTTTCCATAGTGCAGAGTCAAAGCTTATCAGTGACAAGTGAAGACAATCCCCTTGCGCCTATTTTTCGTCCTACCTTCTAGTTCTACATATCTTTCTCTCAACTCCATTTCATTTGCGCATTTATCTATTTACACAATTCTGTACTCTCGTTTCTTCCAAAAGCACATAAGAGTGTTTCTCTTTAAGTGGATTTCGCGTAACATAATCACCTTTAAGGCCTGTTTCCTACGCCTTTCTCACTGTATGTAATGAAACAATCAAATGACTATCAAGAACATAAAGACTTACCCGCAATAAATATGGCGGTTTAATACATGTCTTTTTTGATTTTACTCATTTATGGATAAGTGACCTGCCTGCCTGCTCAAGTTTTGGCTCGTTAACGAGTTGTAGGTTGGAGCTAAGGTCAACAGGGCCCATTGACGACGCTGAAGAAATGTCTGAGGATTTATGAAAGTCACAGTCCAAAAATGGAAATTATCACGTTTACTATGGCGGAGGATTCCGGTCGAACGGCGTTTATTGAGATCCCCCCTGACAGCTCAACCGATTTTCCAGAACGAGATTAAAGTACTTTTATATAGTAAAAGAAGACTGCAGCCAAAGTAGAGACCATATTATCCTGTTCTTCATAATCGAAGATCTAAAGTGTTCATATCACTTAAAAGCAACTACAAAGATTTGCTTCAATCTGCGTAAATAATCATAGAGACAATAGAAGTAGTAGCATGACTTATTCAGCAATGAATATTGAGGAGAATACGAACTGGACTTAGGAATATTGTTTCGATAAGTAAAAAAATTAGGATAAAATTCATTATTGAGTTAGTTATAAAAAGACAGAAACTACGCCTAAATAAGCCAAAGTGAAGCATACAACATTTAACAAAAGGAAATGATAGTCGCAGATGAAATAATAACATCATTACTAAGCATTTTGGCACAAAATAGTATGAAATGAATTATATTTACGACAGTTACATGATTCAAGAAGGCTAGGTTACTGTTATTTTGAAACTGATTTTCGGAATTGTAAACTAAAGTTAGTCCAGTGATAGTGAGCGAAAATAGGCTTGGAAAAGGATTCAACAACGACCATTAAAATTATAATGAGCAGGCTGCTGATTCCATAACTATGAGACTATATTCCTCTGAAGCTCGCTATTTAATTAATGCGACTGAGGCCTAAATGCATCCTGGGCTCCAATTGCTAGGCGATAACATCGATCATTGTAACTTTTATTAGAATAATATTCGGCATTTTGACTTGTTTGAGGTAAGATTGAATGCTCTGTTACGGAAGCCAAGCTAGATACCTCTGAGCTGTCTCCGTGTTGCAAGATTTTTATTGAACCACTATTACTAGAATTTTCGTTGGCTTGAGATACAGAAGCATTATGCCCGTAGAATTCTTGTTTTGTCTTCGGAGAAAAGCTACTACATGGCCTCCTTAAAGAAGGATGTATCCCATTAATTAGTCCGCCATCGTAGTCGACCATAAGTAGTGTATTTTGATCTTTTAATGGACTAGAATAATGCGGGGCTTCAACAGCTGAATGATGCCCTGAAGAGATTCTGTCCAAGACACTGCTATTAATACTAGATTTGACCTGCTCCCCACAAGAAGTATAGCCAGACTCACTTAAAGAAGCCAGAGATGCCAGACTTTCCTTGTCAGATGAAGGCTTACCCGCAGGTGGCATAAGAAATGGATCCGTTCTTAGGTAAGCCCCACTTCGTTGAGTACTTATTTCATCCCAATAATTATTGTATATTGAATGAAGTTGGGCCAAATGATGTCTTGAAAAGTGGGATCCTCTAAATCTTTCCTGGTAAAACTTTGCCTGATTGCGCAGTTCAGATAACTCAGCCCTCCACTTTCTCAATTCTGAATTTTCACTAGGGTCATGTACGTTGGAGAAAAAGCGACCAAATTTTTCGTGGTACTCTGAAAGAAAGCGCAATTTATTCTTTTGAGGAATATCTATAGAATGAACAGGAATCCCGCTCTTGCAATCTCCTGCCTTATGCATGTTTTTAGTCTTAGCCTTGTTTTGATTTCTTGCCAAAAGTTCATTATTAGATAGTATCTTGGCCTTTTTTATTGGCTCCTCATGCATATACGTGTAAGGACGATATTGCCTTTTATATTCTGATTCAAGAAAATTTATTTCATTTTTAGTATTCGAAGAAGTTATCCTTGATTGGTGAAACATAGTGTCAGAGTGAATGATGTGTCTAGGATAATAATCTGATGGTGGCTGCCCAAATGACCTTTGATACTCTGAAATATTTGATAAAAATGATGGAGCTGTTTTCGGCCGTTCATCTGTCATTTTAAGCATTCGAACTTTAGATGGATCAATTACAGGTTTTTTAATTGCATAATTGGATCTATCATCATGATCAATCCTTTTTCTTGTAGCATTTGGAGCATGAGAGGCCCTATGAGACAAGGAAGAAAGCTCAAGTTTAATTTCAGGAT